AGGAACCTTTTAGAGGACAGCCAGTTATTTGTCTTATTTATTATCCAATCCACTATTTAACATTTTTCTGCTTATCTGTGTCCTTTTTTTTTCCTTTAAACTAATTAATTCAAAAATTCAGCTCTCTATTTGTAATCAGCCGAGCAACGTATCCCACACACAACACTGTCTGATTGCTAACATGAATAACAGCCATGGTCAGCTCTGAAGGACAGATACTGAAAGGTTCTCTGTTAATTAAATATGTCTAAAATACAAGTGTTTGTGTTGGAGTTTGTGCTACATCAAGATTTTCATTTTACTTTAAAGGTGTATCGTTACAAATATCAGTTATGAGTCACTTGGACACTAATAATCAGAATCTGTGGCCTCGAGAAAATCACCCTGGTCCTCCCCTCGTATCTTTACACTAAGTAGAAGTCATAAACGTGTCTTTCCTAACTTGTTCCTTTTCTCTATAAAGGAACAGAAACTGGAAAGATGCTGCACTACTTTAAAAAACCGTCACGTAGCTCTTTTCCCACATCTTTGTGTGTCATAAACCACAAGTGGCTCTAATTTGGAGTGCGCTGATGGCAGAGGGGGGCGAGCGCTAAGGTGAAGAAGAGAAAAGCTGAGATGAAATACTGTAATTTAATGATGTTATGCTGTTGCGTAACCCGACTAGAGAGCCACTTCATCAGGGCTCAAACTGGCATTTCTCACCAGAGAGGAGGGAAACAGATTCCCCCTCACATCAAAACACTTCTGTGCCCTTTTTCCCAAAGTTCATTTGGTGGGCTTTGGGAAATGTCTTTGAAAACTGAGTGAGATAAGTTATGTGATGAATGAGTTGGAATATATATTTTTTTACAAATGCTTGTTTTACAGTATGTCCTTCAGGAGTCATTCCTGCACTGTGCATGAATGCAAAGAATTCAGAACGAAGGAAACATGTCAGTGAAAAAGCAGCTTTACATTATAAATTATGCAAATTTTACAGACAGTAACTGACTTCCTGTTTGTGCTTATACTGTGTCGTTTTAATGTTTTATATTTCTAATATTTTCTCCTCTGCTGGCTGTGCGGGAGTCGGTTTGTCATGAATTTACCATAAAGATAATGAAGCGATGATGAAGTAGGACTGCAGTGCAGCGTCCTTGGTGCTTGTCAGCGTGCAGGGTGATATGGTGCAGAAGGACAGCTCCAGATGGCAAACATCTGTCGTGGGGATTACATCGCTTTACTTTTAGTAATCTGAATACTAAATTCCCCGTCACCGAGTGTTTGCTTGTGCCTCCGTGTTGGTGGGTGTTGGTGTGTCAAGGGGCTTACTTCTGCTCGGAGTGGGAAGACGAGAGATTATTCAAACAATCTTGCAATGCTCATTTCCTGGTTTCTCCGTGAAAGTAAAAGGAATGAATATTTGATTAAAAAATGCAGTGATATCGCTGCAGGAGATGCGTGACTGTAAAATGATTTGCAGGGTGAAACTGTTTTATTTTTATTATTATGATGATAATATTTGAATGGTTAAAATTGGGATGCAAAAAAAGAGAGAAAGCAGCGTAAGGAAAAGTTAGAAGACCTGCTTGATAGGAGTGTAAATTAATGAGAATAATGCATAACTTTATGTTTAATTAACCATCACATGTCAGTTCTTACCTCAGCTCACCTGAGCGATCGATTGAAACACCAGAAACCTGCAAAGCTCTGCGCAGTCTTTGGTTATTTAAACACACGGCAGGAATACGTTTTCAAGGCTTTACATAACGGTGCAGAAACAAGTTTTATGAATGACTGCATGAAGAGTTTAGGCTCTTAAAGTCGTGATGTAATACATTGTAGATGTAGATCTTTTTGCCGGTTATGACGACTGCACTACTTTCATTGGGGGTTTGCTCTTGCAGAGGAAGAACGCAACTTTCAAGAAACAAGAAAGCAGAAACGCTGTCGAAAATACGGCCCTCCATGAATTTTTTAAACTCAGAGAGGTTTTCTGAAGCCGTCACACACACACACACACACACAAATAAAGAGTGAGGCAGAGACATTACAATTCTGGTCTGCAGCCAGTGGAATATTTAAAAAGACATTCTCATTTTCTGCTCCAACCCTTTACATGCGCCTCACATTCAACTTGCCTTTTAAATGCCTTTTTTTTTTGTTGTAAGGATTAAACATTTCACAACTGAGTCCTGCAGGAATTCATTTGGAGATAGCAGATCAAATTATAAGACAGCCTACAGTAACGTCTTAATACAACCTGCTTTACTCTTTCTTTTCCCGCCGCGTATGACACCAAATTATATTGTTTAAGCAGCAAAAACTCAGGTTTGTATCCAGCATCTCTGTTTGGTTTTTATTGCTCGGTGTTTGGAGGAAAATAAATATTCTCTCTTTCTTTCCTTCAGTGCATAAAATGAAAATTCGCCATTAAACACTAATGTTCTCGTTTGTACCCCAGTAGAAATCTCAAGAATAAAGTTTATCTTTCCGGAGGGAGAGGAGGCTCTACCCACCATGTTGTTGGAGCTCTAACACGAGCACACACACGTGCACGTGGGCAGCCTTCACGGCTAACATACATCTACATGCTCATTATGCTGCACTTCAGGGAGCAGAAGGCTAATTCAAACGAGTATCGAAAGGGAGTCATCATTAACCACCGGGCTGAGCTGTGGGTGTGTGTGTGCAGAATACAGGAAATCATTAAGAAAATAAAATTAGAATAAAGAGATAAAAATGTAAAACAAGAAGAAGAGGGTATGTGTCAGCCTAAAATAATCATTCTTTAACTGCCTCCCCTCACTTGTCAGTGACTGTTATTAGTGAGTGCGCCGCTCCACAACAACACGAGGAGGGCACGAGGAGGCAGGGAGCTCGAACGAGGGGGGAAAAGCTGACAGATGAGTGGAGTGAGGCACAGAACAGAGGGAGTGGCGCAGAAAGGCAGGCAGCGGCGTGTGTGTGTGCGAGTGTGTGTGTGCATGAGTGTGTGTGTTTGGAGAAAGGGATCAGAAAATCAAGAGAGTCAGCTCAAAGAGGAGAGCCGTCCCCCCAGTGACAGATCTGAATCCAGTGAGGAGGCATAACAGGGGCAACAAACCCCCCTTTAAGATACAGAGCTGTGGAGGGACAACAAAGACAGGACGGACAGGCTGACAGAACCGAGAGAATAAATAGAGGACTATTACTCTCTCTGGCTTGTTTGACCAGGCTGGTTTCCACGGTGACAACATGGGCGCAGTGGTGGGCACTTTGACCATGCAAACCAAACAGAGGAGACCGTCCAGAGGTACGTCAACATTAGTCAGAAAGAGATGGAGAGGAGACAAAAGAGCAACAGAGGAGCAAACTGAGAGGAGAGCGATAACCTCGATATACCAACTAAAAAAAACACATTAAGATCATCATTTAGATCAATACATGTTTGCTTTTCTCATTCAGCATTAGCAAATACATTTTGATTTCTTGCTATATTTTTTGCAGATTGATGTAAATTATTGAACTAAGAAGTTACTTCAAGAGCATGTGAAACAGACTGGCTAATGCATTTACTAAATGTTACCTGCATGCAAGCATATGGTGTCTACAGAACATGTGAAGTACATTAACCATTAGCACTGATGCTAATTTTTGTATGGGAAGAAGCAGCAGCTGTTTCTCAAATTCAAGTGCATAAACTCACATGGAAGAGGCAGCAGAATTGCGAGGGATCAAGTGAGACAAGTTTCCCATCGTTGCTGAGGTGTGAGGTGTAATGCATGTTGTGATGGAGACGCTACAGGATGCCGTGAAGCAGGATGTCCTTGAAAATAACTACAGAGCAAAATCACTGCCCCTGACTCTGTGATTATGTGTGTGTGTGTGTGTCTTGTGCAGCGACTGAGCGAGTGAATGGAGAACATGGAAGGTTCAGGCAGGAGCATGTGGATTAAAACGCAGCTCACATATCATACCTCTCCCTGGCCTTATGCTTGAGAAGCCCGTTGTCATGGAGACTGGGTTGTAGGGGCATAAAAGGAGAGTGTGAACACACACACACACACACACACTCCGCCGGGGTGAATGATGAATTTATAGCAGCATGAGATAGAGATAAAAAAGATGAGAAAGCAGCAAACAAAGCAATTACTCTCTGACACAGACGTAACGCCCCACAAGGCGAGGGTAATGCCTCGCATTTGTTTTCTCACGCAGACAAGATGAAATCATTTGTCCTTGTTTTTGATAAAAGCCTTACAAGATCCTTTTAACAAAACAGGGTCATCTCGCTCTTTTTTTTTTTTTCTTTCTCTCGCTCCATTAATGTTGTCCATTAGAAGTGTGTTGTGGTGCCAGCTGTGCAGAGGTACACGAGATAAGACTAGACCGATAAGACCTTATCCACAGGAGGGAGAAGAAGTATTACAGCTGCACGAAAAATGGCACAGGGGCAGGTCAGAGTAGGAAAAATAACCATGTATGAAATAATATCATGGACCACTGAGCGTACAGTGAATGTATAGTGTACAGGCAAAGCTAGAAAGTGTTTTTTTTTTTTTTTACAAGGACCAGCTATTTGTGTCACTGGCCAAGAGCACAGTCATTCTATTTTCACCGCTATGGTGGATACATCTGTGGCGTCTGGTTTGCCAGGACTCGCAACACGAGTTTGAAAAACATGCACATAAGACGGACGTTGCATAAACCGAAGAAAGACGAAAGTAGTTATAGAAAACAGAAAAAGGTGTTTGTGGAGCAAGAATCCCAGGAAAAGATGCCAGTGTTGTGTCAATCCTCATGTCCTCCGAAAACATATTCATATGCCTGTACACTGTGTTCTCATTTAGGGTTTTAAAGAAGTGCATTTTCTCCCTTTCTCTGAAGGAGGCAGGACAGATGGACTTCAGTTTGCACTTGTTGTGTACTTTCATTTTCACTTGCTGTTTGGTTAACTTAAGCATCCAAACTATACGATTAAGTTTCTAAAAATATCAGCTTGGTTGACACTTTCACTTCCTCTAGGGCATCATTGCTGCTCAAGCACTGCCCAAGATGTTCACAACTGACTGAAAGAAGAGGGATTTTTTCCGTCTATAGCAGTATGATAGTGAGGAGCAGCCAGACTATTCTACACCAGCACTGTGGAGATCCAGTAGGTCTGATCATGCGAGGCTAACACATTCACCACCAGAACTACTTGTTGAAAGCTGCAGCAATGTTTGGCACTAAAACTACTTGGTTTGAGGAAAATAACATAGTTTGGAGTGAAATAAGACTCTCTTACAAAACATTTGAAGCTTCTCAGTCGTCTTCTGGGTGCCGAGTCCCGTCTAATATATAATTGATCAGCTGTGAAAGCAGTAAAATTAATGGAAAAAATATGTTATTTGTGATGCATCACAAACATTTCTCTCTAAACATAATTCAGAAAGCAGGTCAGGTGTGTTAGAATGCAGCTCAAATAGGCTTAGCTTAGCACAAGGAATGGAAACCAGGGGAAGCCACTCGCCTGCCTGATTCCACAGGTAACTAATAACCAGCGCCTCAAATGCTCACTACGTAAAATGCTATATGTCGATTGTTAAACTCATATAAAATCCCAAATAAAAAATGTCATGCTGTGGTTTTATGAGGGATTACATACCAGACTGCTTCTCGACCCAACACACTGACCTACTGGAGTTTTGCCGTCACAGCGCCGGACTACAAAAGGTTATTGGATTAAACAAAAGAAGATATAATCTGTAAAGTGGTGCGCTTTAGACATGCTGCTGGCTTGATTATTTTATCTCAGGGTGGAGCACATTTTGCTGTTTTCCCGTCTCTGCGCGAAGCTAAGACAAGCATCTGCTTGCATCAGCTTCACATTTAGTGTGCAGACACCAGAGCCGTGTCGGTATTCTCATCAAACTCTGGGTAAAGAGGTCCAGCAGAGCATGACGAGATTTTTTAACAAGCATGTGTACCTGCAAAAAAACAAGCTAGTGATGCTGCAGCTCGTCTCCCCCTCCACCTGTCTCGTTAGTGTCGTGTTTGCACCTTCCTGATGCCAAGACAACAATTACAGTTGGGAAATGTGAGCAGATTTCTGGGAAGAAAAAAAAAACAAAACAAGCCCTGCGTGTCCTGAAGCTGTCGCAGCAGTTGCCATTAACAGTGTGACAGAGCGGTTACACACTTCTAATTATCTCTGTCCTTTCATCGTATAACACTTCCCTCCCAGTACATGCTGATGAATGTTTATGTGCAGAGCAGTTGTTCCGTTAATTATAGCAAAAGTCCTTCCTTGCATATCAACGCCGAGACTGTTGGTAAAAAAAAAAAAAAAGTCTGCAGCATTTCTTTATATTATCTAGAACTCAGATGATTTTGTCACCTGATAAGTGTTTTGTGTTCCCACCTGGTTAAAGCTTAGTCAATATGTGTCTTTGCTCATGAAGCGTCTGAGATCAACAGCTTAGCGTTTTTCTATTCCCTCCTGATATAATGTGCCGTCTTATTGTGCTGTTCTCTCTTTCTCACCTCCACCTTTCTGCTTCACACTCCTCCTTCCTCTCCTCCGGGTCTCAGCCCTCCTCTAATCAACACCTCTGCCAGCTTCCTCTTCTCACCCGCCTTCTATTTCATCTGCTTCTTATCACACAGGGAAAGCGCTCCGACGGAACGCATTAATGCCCACAGGTGGAGCGAAAAACAGCAGCTTTTGCAGCTTTGTTGCCGTGTGATGAGAGACTTTAAGTCACTGGGAATATACATGTACACAAATTGTGGTTTACGCCCCCCACCCCCCTTCGTTGTTTAAAGTAAAAATCAGTTGGTCCAGTACACCCACCACTGCTCACATTTATCATAGCTGTCTATCTCCATGACAACAAGAGTCAGTGGGATGGCAAGTGGAGCTCAGAGGAACATGGAGGGAAACATACCTGACACCAGTATGCAGCCCTGAGAACCATCGCAAACACAAGTACACAAGTGTCGTTCGAAGCAACACAAGCAGCTGAATTGTTCGAATTGATGCTGCAGATGGTTGGTGCTGTAAAGTGCACGACCGACAGATTGTAAAATTTAACTTGTGTTTGGCGGATGATGCACGACAACAGTTTCAGTGTTGTGGATTCATCTTGACAACGCCGATAAATGGGATGGAACAACTGAGTCATCGCTGCCATCCAAAGAAAGAGATTTAAATTCGCTTTTATCTCCTTTTCTTCGACTGAGCCAGTCGGTTCTGGCACACGGTTTATTTGGAATCCAACGTGTGCATGTATCAAGTTATTAAGCTGTTCCTGATTGTGGGACCACTGATTGAATTTGTGCACCATGTTTGTGCTGTGAAGACATCGAGTGTGTTCCTCTGGCTCAGGCCCGGCTGAGATATTAAAGGTTACAGACCACCCAGTGTAAATATGCCATCCCGCTACACCAACATAAGGCTTCAGACTTCACATTTAATATCTCCACTATTTTTTCCGAGGCCCTGCAGCTGCCAGTGCGTGTTTTCTCTTGGATATTTGCTCGTCAACCCACCGGTGTGTGGCTCGCGCCCGGCGCCGGATGTTGGGATGTTGGTGTTGTCCTGTAGCTGGAGACAGTCGCGGTGACAAACACTCGCCCTCAGCGCAGGCATCTCCTCACATCATTAACCGCCATCCATCTCCACGGCAGCCGATGCTGAGCACCACGCTGCCATTAATAAAACGCTTCAACTCCTGAGGGGAAACCTAATTTGTCAAAAACATGTAGTGCTTCTTCAATCCTTCTTTTTCTCTCTTTTAACCTCCTCATCCTGCCTTGTTTTTCTTCCGCTTCGCTTACCTCCCTGAGCGCTCTTTTCTGCTGTCTAATCAGATTTTTTGAGGTTTTCTTGCCGACTTAACGTTCTCACGCTTCGCCGAGTTGTCTGTTTCTCGTGCGTAACGGTTTTTATATTCCTGAGAGGAGCATATGTTAAACAGGCACTGTAGAAATAATGCATCTCTCTTTTTCTTTCCCCTCCCCGGCAGATAAAACAGATGACGAGCTGGAGATGACGATGGTGTGTCACCGGCCGGAAGGTCTTGATCAGCTGGAGGCCCAAACTAACTTCTCCAAACAGGAGCTGCAGATCCTCTATCGCGGCTTTAAGAATGTAAGACTTTCTGATTTCGTTGTTAAAATATTAAAATCTCAGAAGATGCAGGGTCATGTATGATTAGGGGAATGTGATGGTCTGATATCGTGGATGATCTTAATTTCACGTGTGAGCTTCGTTTCAGAGGAATCATAAAGATCATGATATTAAACAGCACTGAGCAAATGTTCCTTCTCCACATGAATTGGCTGTGACACAATCAGGACGCTGCTTGATTCACACATTTTGGAGGTGTAGCTTGTTTTGTAAACAGAATTCTGAACTTTCTGAGGAACATGAAGATGCAGAAAGTTGTGAGGTGGGCTTTTAGCCGTGAGTTGGTGTGACACTGGTGCTTGGTTTCAATGCAGCCATATGCACAACTAATCCTGTGACTGTGCCCCATATAGTGGTCTGCAGATATTATCGATCAGTATTGACCTCTTACATTTATACAGTATGTCACAAACACTAAATTTAACACACCTGCTCCCCATTCACACCTGAGACCTTGTAACACTAACGAGTCACATGACACCAGGAGGGAAAATGGCTAATTGTTCCCAATTTGGACATTTTCACTTAGGGCGGTTTAGACATTAATGGCTGTACTGAGTTATTTTGAGGGGACAGTAAATGTACACTGTTATACAAGCTGTACACTGACTACTTTACACAGGAGCAAAGTGTCACTTCTTCAGTGTTGTCCCATGACAAGATATAATAAAATATTTGCACTTTTGTGACATACTGTATATCACTGTATATGATGTTTGATTTTCACTGATATGAAAACTGTTTCTACATAACATAAGGCAGAAAAGGATGTTTAGAAATAATGTCATCACAAAGGTTTTCTGGCTCTAATTCTATTGTTTACAAAACTTTCAGCACTTGCAGCACATGTTGCAGAGCACATAAGAGGTGTGTCAGAAAAGTTCCAGGACTGGTGTCACAGAAGATATATTTCAAATCCAAACTACCAGTTTTCCCCTTCGTATTAATCCCCCTGGAGTCTAACACCCTTCCCCAGTCTTCTCTGCTGCCGCCATGCACCCCTGGAAGGATTCCTCCAGGATCCTCCTCAGCTCCATCATCACAGCCATCTTGATGTCGTCCACGTCTTCTAAGCGGGTCCCCTTGATGACCCCCTTGAGCTTGGGGAAGAGGAAACAACCCCACGGAGCCGGGTGGGGTGAGTAGGGAGGTTGCTCCAGCTGTGGGAGCTGTGGGATGCTCAGGACGCTGTGAGCAGGTTGTCATGGTGAAGCAGCCTCCTCTGGTCCTGCCACAACTCTGCCTCTTCTGAACGAAGCAAACGCTGCAGGATCTCTTTGTAGACGTGCTGGTTGATCGTCTGAAGGGAAAACTTGTAGTTTAGGTTTGAAATCTATCTTTTGTGACTCCAGTCCTGGAACTTTTCTGACACACCTGCCTAAAAAAAATCCAACATCAGTCCGGCTCTGTTTTTCTTTTGAGTTAAGGAGACTTGACTCATTGATCATGAGTAAACCCCTTAAAGGTCCTCATGTCATCTTTTAGGGCAGATAATGAGGTCACCTGATTGAGAAAGTACAAAATAAACAGAAGGAAAAAACGTTGTCATTGAATAGATTGGGCTGAGTGATTTTTTCTTCTCCCTAGGAATGTCCGAGCGGAGTGGTCAACGAGGAGACATTTAAACACATTTACGCACAGTTCTTCCCGCATGGAGGTAAAGTCCACCATTTTCTAATTCGTTCCTCTGTGATGCTTCTTGAGAACAAGAGAACTTATGTGTTTTTGTGTGTTGCAGATGCCAGCATGTACGCACATTATCTCTTCAACGCTTTTGACACTACAAACAACGGCTCCATTAAGTTCAAGGTAAAATAAAGCAAATACGACCTGTTTCCTTACCGTCCTGTGCTACTGTGCTCATGAGTTTATTGTGTCCCCGTTGTCCCGTCTGCAGGACTTTGTGATGGGGCTGTCGATTCTGCTGAGGGGAACACTGAGGGAAAAGCTGGAGTGGACGTTTCACCTTTACGACATCAACAGAGACGGATACATCAACAGAGAGGTGAGATCACGTCACCTTCCCAGCTGGGTTTCATGCGTTATGCTTCGTCTTTGTTTCATCTCCTGTCCTTCCAGGAAATGACTGAGATCGTGAGGGCAATTTATGACATGATGGGCAAGTACACCTACCCCGCCCTGAAGGGAGACGTCCCGCAGCAGCATGTGGACGCCTTTTTTCAGGTTCGCTTCTAATACATAATATTAGCATAAATAAGAGTCAGGCGTCGGCTGCTTTGTTGGCAGCGACAGGTGATTTTAAACCCATTGTGTTTACGCAGCTCGCAGGGAAAACAATCTGGCTTTTAATGTCTCTTATCATACCCCAGTAGCTCCGCAAATGAACCTCTCCGCTTTTATTGAGACACTCTGCATGTACTAAAGGGTTTTAGGATAAGGCTGATAAAGTTTTACATCCATCCCATCCCTGCAGTTCGTAGCATCGTGTAGTCAGGTTATTTTTATCTTAGTGTGTACAGTATTGTACAGTTTCTGTGAGCGATTTTCCAAACATGAGATGCACACAAAACCATAAACATGATAACACTATTCATTATGTTTTTATTTTCCCACAGAAAATGGATAAGAATAAAGACGGAGTGGTGACTCTGGAGGAGTTTGTTATAGCCTGCCAAGAGGTTCGTATTGTTCTACGTCTGTGTTGCATCAAAGTGGGAAGAATCATGAAACAAATCATGAAAGAAGATATTTAGCCTCGAGTTATATGAGCCCTTTTCAGAAATGTGCTCCTTTCCGTTAACCTGACAGTGTCTGAACATGTCGGCTTCATGTCTGAATGAGCGATCATGTCTGATAACTTCTTCATAAGAGTCGTGATCTTACCAGGTCAGATGAAGTAACGTGTAGGAGCACAAGTCTGATCTGCATGTCGCTGCATTAACAGAAAGGCCTGCACAAGTACTTTGAGTGATGTGAAACAATTTGGAAAGGACTTTTTCTATATTTTGGCCTATAATTTCACATCTATTAGAAATTCATTGAAATCCATAAAAATAAAACGTTACTACGGTGAAGCCAGAGACTGCAACAGATTATCGAGACTTATCACACTCCAAAAGGTAATACCAATGCTTACTTGAATCACATTAGTGTACTTTACTTATTTCTCATTGTCTTATTTAACTCATGGACTGTGTTTTCCTTAAAGTATTATAAAACTAAGCACACTTGAGGAAACTGGACTTGAAACGTTCTGTTCCTGGACTGAACACAGAGCTCAGCAGTAGAGAGGTGCAGGAGAAGTTTCCATAAACTTATGAGGTGACTGTGGCTCAGGTAGTAGAGTGGGTTGGCCAATTGGATTGGAAGGTTGGAGGTTTGATTCCGCCCTATAACCTGTGTCATGGTCGTTGTGTCCTTGGGCAAGACACTTCATCCACGTTGCCTGGTGTGAATGCGTATGAATGGACTGTTTGAGGTGGTGGTTGGAGGGCAGAATGGCAGCCACGCCTCTGTCAGTCTGCCCCAGGGCAGCTACCACGACTGGGATGAATGTGTGTGAATGAATAATTGACAGCATAAAAAGTCTTTGAGTGTCTAGAAAAGTGCTATATAAATCTGATCAATTATTATCATTATTTTATAAGTTTCGAACCCTTGGAAAAATCAAGTTCATTATACTTACAATTTTTAAATTCACAATATAGCTAAGAAGCCAATACAGGTAAATTTTAAGCAAACTTTACAAGTAGATATGAAGAAAGCTGAATTTAAGACTAATGGTTTATTTACTTACCTTTTTTGAGTGCAGCCGGTTTCCTAGATTTGTTTAAGTAAGATCAACTTTTCATATTTTACACTGCAGTAATAACAGTAACCTGTGTTAAAAGGCTGCTTCCAGCTGTTTGTAGAGAGAATCAGAGTCTTTAATGTCATTATTCAGAAAGTACAATAAAAGTGGATGCAGTCCCATTTAGTGCAAAGAAGCATTTCTAAACTAACAAAACTTGAGCAATGATAACAATCAAGGAGTTTATAAAATAGAGACATATAAAAAATAACATGATGAAAAAATAGATGCAAACATTTACAATAAATAAATAAAATGTGACCCATCTGCACAAAATCATTGTGCCTTGGACTATATCTGACAGATACAGCCTGAATTATATTAACACATGATAAAATATTGATTTTGGGTTTATTACTTAGATTGGTCCATTTAATTATTTTCTACATGTAGAAATATCATTACGCTCCATATCGCTGTCAAATACCATCAGGTGCAATGCGATTGATTTCATGCAGATGGGTAACAAATGAGGTCTGCTTTATAGGAGTCTTTACTAATTAAATAAAACATCTGCAGCATCACACAACAGCAGGATCCATGTGAGTGTGTCCAAAGAGAGACTTGCATACATTTATGCATGAAACAACAGCAATAACTTCATTAATTGATTGTAAATTGTGCTTGACGTGGAGACAGGATCGATCCCGTCACACTGTGTACTCTCCTCCACCTCGGACCGGTGGGCTGTCACACCATGAGTCGGCTACAGTTAAATAATTTGTTACCTAGCGCATTTACATTTAGTCTTTTAGTTAGCAGTGCTTTAGCGTGCATTATTCATCACTCGATGTACCGTCCGGTTTCACGTGTAGGACGAATGTTGTGTGCCTCTCGTGAAGTGAATGCCTGAATGAAGAGGCTGGCAGCATGAACATGAAGGTGACCTACGTCTGAATGACAGAGCGCCGTCAGGTTGATGAAGCCAGCAGCGATACGCATCACATGTCTGGAAGGGTGTTCAGGGTTGTTTATGTAGAGCAACAGTGAAAAGTTTGGATACACCTCCTCACCTCAGGGACTCTCTTCTTTAATCCATGTAGCTGACAGTGAGATGCATCGTTCTGTCACGATTACTTACCTCCTCTCTCCATCCCTCACCAGGATGAAACCATGATGAGGTCCATGCAGCTGTTTGAAAACGTGATGTAGGACGAGCAGGAGACGACGGAGACAAAGACATGGAAAATGAGAGGGCTTTGTGTGAGTGTGTGTGTGTGGATGCATATGTGCAATACATCCAGTCTTTCCTCCTCCTCCTCTCCTCCCTATTTTATCCAGCTGTGATGTGGATACAGCCAGAATCCCCCACACAAGGACTTGCAAGAAGAGATTGGACTGGAACGCCTTCAGCCTTCCTGCCGAGGTTCTGCTACACAACACACAGTGACTGATGGCCTGGACGTTAACACACATCGCTCTCGGTCCCGTCTCAAAGATTCGCCTGGTAAAGATAAAGATGCTCCTATAAGGCTGCTCCCGACCAGTGATGAACAGCGTGTTCAACAAGCTGAACTGTTTATTTATTTTTTTGCCAAAAGATGTTCTTTATCTTTTTCTTTTTTTCTTTGCCAAAACATGATTGCATGCTTTTGCAAGACCTTTTGATTGATCTCCAAATATGTGTTACAGGAATTTGGCCATAAGGACATTTCTATTTATCTCGTGCATCTAGTGGTCGACGACAGACATGAGATATTTCAAATGTCGTGTACAGTGAGCCCTGTACTTCTGTGTTCATCTGACTGTCGCCTGAGAGTCCGTCCTATGCTCGTTGTTAGTCCGTCTAAATCTTATAGTAGAAAGTCAAATCATTTTTGACACAGTGCATTTTATGGGTCTTATATGATGAGTGTGTGTATGTGTGTGATTGTCTTCTTTTGTCCATGTTAGGTTTTAGTGAAAAAAAAAAGAAGAAAGTGATTCATTCTTTTATATTTTCACTCGCTGCTTTGCTTCTTGTGGTCAAATTGATGTTGTAAAGAAGAAAATAGTGTTAAAAAAACAACGTGCATACATTTTGGATATCATTATGAAGTGCCCGCGAGATGTTTAATAAATAGGAAGAGGCTATTGATTATAAAAATTCTATCTTTACTGGCACAGGTGTGACTCAGAGGTGGTGACAGTGAGGACATAGGAGTGTATTTATGTTGCTATGTGGCAGAAACGCTCCGCTTCTGGGCCATTCTGGTGAAATCCTGGGGTGAGAAAGTTTCTGATGATACCTCTGAATGTCAGCTGTGGAATGTGATTGACTGAGGACAGCCCCATGTGTACTAACGGACATTCGGCACTGCCTCCCCCGTCCAAACCAGGACAGTGATGTCACACTGACGTACGCGGTGCAGATGCTAACCGCAGTGATGGTTTTTTTAGGTGAGTTTGAAAGCACCACCGTCATAGAAAACTCACAAAGCTATAGTAGTTTAAGCACTAAAATATTAAGCACTGTTCTTTTCTGAGTCAGTGGATCAGCTCCGGTACATCCGTGTGACATCACAGCCTCTGATATCTCGGCTTGGAGCAGAGCTGTTAAATCTCACAAAGAGAAGATTTAATTTTAAGCCATAAGAATAAATATGTAAATTCTTAAACTGAGTTGCGTCTTTATTCTGCGTTCACTCTGAAGAAAATGTGTGATTTAACGATGATTCCCGGCATGAAAGTGGGGTGATAAAGAAGAAGGAGACGCACATACTGCATACTGTCAGGGGTCACTGAGTGGTTTAATGAGTATGAAAGTGGTGTGAATCATATGCCACGGCCTTTCCATTCCCCACATCTCAACCCATTTAGCTTGTGGTTAACGAAGGCTTTTTTTCCCCCTCCTTATTATCTCACCCCATCTTTATAAATGAAGATCAGTTATTAAATCTAGAAAACACAGGAGGTAAAAATGGTTCAGCCCGGGGACAGATCAGAATTAAATGAAGCTGTTATTTCACTTTGTCCTTTAGGAATACAAACTTTTCTGGATAAAACGTTTTATTCAAGTAATATAAGATATGAACATGATTTGTACTTTTGTTTCTCTGAGTTGTTCTTCTAGTGTTGCTCTGAAGCGCTGCAGGTTTACACATAGCTTTAAAGGAACATTACATGGCCTTCAACACAGTGCACGGATGAATTAGTTATGTTTGCGCGCACAATCAATTGCTCAAGTATAGCTTTACAAGTTAAGTTCTGTTTGAAATGTTCTACCTAAGTAAAAGTACACAAGTATTTGTTCTGTCTGATGCACAAATCTGTTTTTGGACTTTTTCCAGGTAAAGCACAAGGCAGAGTACTAGAAATACTGACTTTGCAATACTTTGATTTTTGGTATATATATATATATATTGTGGTACACACTGGTAATCCAAAATAGTGTTTCTTGCTTTTAATGGCATTTCGATCAGGCTTCTTATACAAAGCTTTATGGTGCTGATTGAAATTAGTTTTGTTGCCTCTCATCTTTGATTATTGGATCATTTGAACATTACTGAAGAGAAACATGATGAGATATTTACAGGGGAAAGTCAGCATTTGATGGAGCTGTTTAACAACCGTAAGCCTGACTACACACACATTTTTCGTAAAGACATCAGAAGCCAAAAAGGTTGGATTGTCAAGAACTCACTGATGACAGACAGGTGGACACAAATGCTCGACACAGAAGAGGTTCAGGCAAAAAGGCAGGTTTATTACAGGTCAGGGTTCGGTACACAGAAGGTCAGTCAAATCAGGCAGAGGTATCCAAAAAACGAGAGGCAAAAGGCAAGGTCCAAAAACAGAAGCAAGGTCACAACAAACAGACTGTGACTATGACTAGAAGAACGCTGGTACAAAGACTGTGAAAGTACAACGAACTGGCGACAGGACAGTGAGACACACAGCGTAATATACACGATATAATGAGGGGAGATGGGAAACAGGTGCAGGGAGGTAATTATTGAACAGGTGTGACGAGACAGGTGCAGGAAGTAAAATTAAAACAGAAACAACTGGTGAAGTGACTTCAAAATAAAACAGGAAAGACAAGACATAAAATGTGCACACAAAACAGAAAACTTGACAGACATGACAGGATTCTGCTGGTTTAACCTTTAGCAGTGTGTTGTTATTTAAAAACTGCCCGAGTACAAAGCAGCACAGAGTAGAAATACTCAAGTAAAGTACCTCAAAATCATGCTGAACTACAGTACTTGAGTAAATTCATTTAGTTACTTCCCATCCCTGCACACAACCAGCCCAGCCCGTACGGCCAGTACATTAAGCTCAAAGTTGAAAAATAATTAGATTTTATCGCAGATTTTCACCCACATAGCAACAAAAAATCATTTGCACAGATAAAAGCTTTTGAATTTCCTGCAAAACTGGTATTTTTAAATGATCATAGTAGATAGACGACAGTCAGAGATGGATAGTACATTCACTCAAGTTCTGTACTGAAGTACAAATTTGAGGTACTTGTGAATCTTTTGTTTTTCTACTTTGGCTCCACTACATCAAATAGCTTGAGCTTAGATCACAAAATAAGTCTTTTTGCAACTAAATTAGTAAACTAATCAAGTTCATTGACAGGATATGGGTAACTAATTTGATAATCATTTGGAGCACTTGTGACAGCATTCCTCACCTTTTCAAGATCGCTTTTAATGTTTAACTGTTTTATTTTATTCACCCTTGTACCTGTCTTCTATACTTTGCTTTTTATCTGCTTTTTATTCAACTTGTTTTGCTCCTGTTTTCATCTTACACCCTGTTAAGTGACTTTGAGTATCTTGAAAAGCACTATACAAAATAAATGTATTATTATTATTTTCAGAATTTTTGTAAAACCAAAGAATAAATTAATTAATGGAGACAATAATCAGTAGCAGCAGTTGGATACAAAATAATTTAAAACTATTTTCAGCTCAACCAACTTTACTCACATTATTCCTTGGGTAATAATAACCCTATGATATGGTGTATTATTACGACGGGGTATTAGGGCCACATTACGAAAATTAAGTGGTAATATTACAAGAATAAAGTCGTAACATTTAAACCAGTTGTTTTAGAGGAGCAAAGTTGTTAAAAGTGCCGTGGAGCATTTCGTGACGTTGTACTTCAGCATCGGTTTCATAAACCAGGAGATAATTCATCTTTACTTTATTCTCGTAAAATCAGGATTTTTTTCTCGACGTCTGTGGAAAAATATTTCTTTAATGTGGCTCTAATACTCCATCATATATACTAGTCTAACAGTCACTGGGGATATTGTTGTCTGAATGGACTACTTTCACTTTTTAAAGTTTAAATACACTTGGTGGTAATACCTCAGCACACATACTTTTACTTCAGTCATATTTTCCTTGAATGACTTTTACTTCTTTACTTGTTTCATAACGTGGAATCAGTCATTTTAGTTAAAGAAACCACTGGCAAAGGTTAAAGAAAAAAAGAAAAGAGAAGAAACTGTTGCTCACCACTACTCTGCTCTACACTGTGCTGTGCTGCGTGCTGTCCTGCGGGGGGCGCTGCTCCTCCTTTTTGTCTTTTCTACTCTCCACAGAAGAAGAGCAGCAGCACTAGCTCGTTAGTTGGTGGTCTCCAGCAGGACTTCTTCCAGCGCAGACACGCAGCAGGTTGGCAGCTTCTTCACCTCCAACATGAACGGGTTAAACGACGAGCCAATGGCGCCACAGACCTTCCTCTATGGTGAGAAAACTCCTTTAATCTGCGTCACTTCGTTTAATTTAATTCGTCCTCGTGTGCTGCTAACAGCCGCGACGTGTAGCTGCTTAGCTGCATGTGGCCCTCTGTGGTGACCAGGTGGTGTCCTCATCAGGGTATTAAAGCTTTTAAACGCAGTAAATATCGCTGTTGGTGGTTGTTAACCTCCAGCAGGAGGTTCTGGTGATTCCTGGAGAGCAGCAGCTGCCTCTGAACCACTCCGCCACACACGTGCTTTGGTACCAACATGGCGGCGCCCGTGTTTCATTAACTGCGCTCATATTTAAGCTTTTTTTCCCCCACATGAGGTTAAAACTAACGCGTAGTTTCAATTACATCCCAGTTTTATATACTGTCACAATGAAACGTAAAGTTTGACGCGACAGTTTTCAGCTGGTTGGGGAAAATCTTCTCAACGTGGCTTCAAACGCATGTGCACCGCGCTCCTGGATGAGCACATATAGACTTCTTATCTTGCATTTATGAGCTTTCGTTTGATTCACTGGTGTACTCCAGTAGATATAAAGTCATTGTGACTGCAGTGTAAACACAACTTGCACTGAATTTCTCCTTGGATCACGTGGAGCTGCTCGTCCCGTCACCCAGCGTAACCTCGGCTGGTGTTGATATGTGATATGATGGCCTAGTTACTCATGACTGAAGGTCTTCATGGTGCAGGCAGGAAAAGGCAGAGAGAGCTGCTGAAGTTAACTAAGGCTGGACATAATGTGGGCCACAAATTCTGGGTTGATCCAGACAGCAAGAGGTGAAAACGTGTTTCCCACGTGTGATCCGTGGAGAGGGTTTTCCCCTCAGTGGGTCATTGCTCCCACTTTAGTCCAGTTTCACTTTGATGAATGTGCGCCAGTCAGTTTAAAATAAAGTATATCAACATGAGGCCACTCCAGAGCACGATCAAGCCCAAATTTGTTTAAATGACGTATTGTCGCAAACACACAGTGCATTAAAATGGCTCTTACATTTACTAGATGTTTAATTTTCACTACTTAAGTTAATTTTTTGTTGAAATTGCTGACAATTTTTGTATTTTTTGTCATTTGGGAGAACTATACCAGCATCATGAGGCAACCCATAAATGTAGATTTTCTTTCATCCAAGACTTTGTAATCCTATTTTTATGTAATAGCCTATATTCAGTAAAAGTCAACTGAAATTTTGCACTGAATGTTGATCTTGGAGATGTTTCACCTCATTTACGAGGCTTCCTCAGCTCTGAAACTAGTTCAGAACAGTCCACTTACCTCCTACTGAATCACCCAGGGGTGCCATGTGGAAACATTCCCACCAGTAGTCTGTGTAGCGCCCCCTTGTGCAGAGTTTACATATAACACTTTACAGCCTAATAACCAGGTGGTCCCAGATAGAGCAAAGGGCAGAGTTAGTGACTTCTGCAGTTTCATTTAGCTTTTATTCAAAGCGACGCACATCTGAGAGCGGATGCAACACAAGCAAGGATCTAGTCAGGAGAAAATAATCTGGATAAGAGCCATAGAACAAGTTGGAGTGTGATAGGACGATGATGCCAATAGCAGGCTGTAGGGAGGTTGTGGGATTTTTATTTTTTTTTGTTATCAGTTGTCAAGTGCCGAGGTGTTCAGTGAAGAGCTGGGTCTCTAGTCTTAAAGACTGAGAGGAAGTCAGCAGATTGAACAGAGTTTGGTAACTCGTTCCACAGAGAAGAGTCTAGCTATCGACCTCGGGCCCTGTTGTGGTTGGATCAGGCAGCTTTTGTTGGTCGAGACTTCAACATTCAAAATTTTATACCACAGATTGAATTCTCTGCGTTTCTATGCTGGTGTCTAAGTCAGTTGTTGGAGTATTGACTGAGCTCTTCTGTTCAGGTTGTGTGCTGGAAGCTGGAAAGGAGGTGGTGTTCAATCCTGAGGACGATGACTTGGAGCATCAGCTGGACCTGAGGATGGTAAGAACCCCGAAACCCAAGTTGTACAAGAAAGAGACTCATGACACATATTGTTTATAATGTCTTGAGATGTTTCTTGGCTTACCAGGATTTTTGTTCACAACTCCAGTGATTCATCTTTTGATATTTGGTAAAACATTTTTAAAGAAATTTGACTGCTCGGTGGAGATGCACAAAGATTGATAGTTGATTGAATGAAGCTAAATGCTTACTTGAAGTGATTAGAAAAGGAACAGTGTCTGGTGGCTAAATGAATAATGTTCTCTATTAGTGGAGTTATCCTCCTCCTCTCAGCCTTACTGGTGCCCATTGGTGTCGTACTTACTGGAACAACACTTTGTGGCTTATTCTCTCCCAGATTTTTAATGCACCGGGAACGTAACACACACACAAGTCTGATCGTGGATCCTAATTAGTGCACTTACACAGATTGCTTTCTTGACAATCAGAAGATGGATGTAATGGCAGTTTTTGAATTCTGGCTGAAACAGACACAAACGATCACAAAGTCCTGTGAGTTGTGGGACTAATATTCACCCTGATAGATCATATAAGAATACAATCGACTGCTCTCTAGGTCTGCGTGGAGCCCGGCACCAAGGATGAACTTCACATGGTGGAGGTGGAGGGACAGGACATGGAGGGTCAGAAAATCAAGGCAGTCCTGGTTTCACTGAAGCCCTCTGTTCTGCCAAGTGTGAGTACACCTCTTGTTTTTTTTGTCTTTGCTTATGTTTAAACACACAAATTGTCCTCTTGCTGTGTCGAGTGCTGGCGTCCTTTAAGCTCTAACCCCACACAGGCTGTGTTTGTTCAGTCGTCCTCGTCTGCTGCTTTTTGTAGCTGCCACTTGACATTCACGCTCTTTGAAACATCTTTTCAGCTCTGTTGGCAGGAAACTAACGTGAGTGTTTGTTGCAGGTGTGTCTTGGTGGTTTCACGATCACACCCCCAGCAGTTTTCCGTCTGAAGGCAGGTTCAGGTCCGATCCATATCAGTGGACAGCACCTAGTCAGTAAGTATTTATTAGAAGAATGTCATGATATCTTGTCCAGATTATTTTTTTAATGGCGATCCCTTTCCTCAGTGGCTGATCTTTGTCTATTAGTTATGGAAAAATTCCTCTACAAGCTGCTTCTCTTGGCAAGAAGATGCATTTTATTCCAGTGGATGAAGCCCAGACCTCCAGCTGTTTAGTCTAAGTTCAGTTCTGATGGGAAATGAGAGGATTTTTACTAAACTTTGGGCGCCCCTCCTAAACTATCTCCCAGATTTTACCGCAGACCTCATACGTAGGGGGCGTAGCGATGTGGTCTGGCATCCCTCTTGTACTCCTGTATCCTCATAATGCCCTCTACTGGGTTATTATAGTTCCATATAGTCCTTTGTTTTGGTGGTTTCTCCCTGATCCACTGGACTTATTCAAACTGTGAGACCTCTATGTGGTGTCCTCATACTTTGCTCATACTTGTCTTTGTTTTATTTCTGTTGTTTGGTTTAAAAATTAAAAAAGAATAATAAGGGGAATAAATTAGCAGCTGATGTGGTTGAAGGACCCAGTGTAACATTCCTGCCTTCCTTTTAAGTGATGGAGGCTGATCAGTCTTTCGATGAAGATGATGATGACGACGATGAGGAGGAGGAGGAAGATGTCAAAACATCAAAGAAGAGACCTGCTTCCTCTCCTGCCGCAAAGTCTCAGGTTGGTTCTACGTTCTGTTCAGTTTAAAGATGAAGTTTGTCTCGGTTCAGTCGTGACCTACTTTTGATCTTCTGTGCAGAAAAAAATGAAGATGGACGTAGATGACGATGATGACGATGATGATGACGACGACGACGATGATGAGTGAGTGTCAGGCTTCAGACAGTGACACATTGTTGTGACCTTTTCCCAAATACATGCTCACAGTGGAGCCTGAGTGTTTAACTCCAGACACTCGATGTTATCACTAGAACAGTGTATGTAGGACATTATTATTTACAGTCATGACTCGTTAATCTGACCCTTAACAATCCTAAACCTTGCTTTCCGACAGGTTTTTAGGAAAAACGAACAGAACCCATAAAAACAGCCTTAACATAGCGACAGCCTTGGATTGTGACTCCGACATGACATTTAATGTCACCAATCAGGATGACGGCGTATTATCTGACTGAACAATCCCACAGATTGGCTACGTTCACACTGCAGGACTTGATGCTCAATGAGGATTTCTTTGTGACTTCCTTCACGTTTCCAGTTCAATGCGACTTGTATGTGATCTGCTGTGTGAACTTCATACGACCCAAAAGTGTCCCGCATGCGCAGAAGAGGACACGACGACGTCACACGCAGCGAGCGTGCTCAGTGTTTACGGAAGTAAACATGGATGGTAACGGTGGAGCGTATCTGCCACTCCCCCGCCGCCACCGATGGAGGAAACAGAAGTGTGAGCGCTAACTAAACTAGCATCAGCAGCCAAGTACTGTCTGCGTTCCGACCACTTCCACCCCGGGGTTGCGCTCTGACGGGGTGGAATTGGCCAGAGTGTGCACAATCACATCGGTCAGTTAGTGAAATCCAGCGATGCGTAGTCTTCTAACTATACACTAGTTATTATAACAACTATGAACAACTAATGAGCCTTCCAGCATCAAGCCCTCCTTGTATCTGGACCTCCTTCTTGACAATCCGACAGCCTTGCTATCCGACATAAAAGAAGGTTTTATATTTAGCGTTGGATTATCGAGTCACGACTGTACTTTCATGTTTGTCGTCATGTGTTTGTGTTAACATCATATACTAGTGATGTTGAGGGCAGGTGACTGAAGGGAAAACTAGGTCAAATGTAAGTCCGTGGACTTGCAGACAAAGCTTCAGACTGTTCAGGACTCTGCTCTGCTGGCGACAATTCAGCTCATCTTGCTTCCAGTGACACCAGTTTGGTCTGTTCTAAATATTAAATTCGGGTTTAAGTGGTTCATGAGCTGCTGTTTCTTGTGTTGAGTACGTCTGAGATGCCCGATATTGGCTCATCATTGGTTTTGTTCGATAAAGGCTTTAAAATGAAAGGTCGGCGTCGGTCCAACATGAGCGTTGACAGGCAGATAAGATGATGCTGACTAACGCCTGAAGCTGAGATCCTGGCACGAGAGTCTACTTGGACAGAGACGGTGTTTATTTACTTGTTTCGCGACTTCAGAAATGGGTCAGATTTTCCGCGCTTGAGACTATTGTGGGGATTATCTCTGGGTGAGCGTCGGCCAAGACTGTTAGAGTGGGATGAAGTTTAGAGTTTGGGTTGAAAATGAAGAAACAAGGAATGCTTTACATAGAAGTTGTTATTTGCCCAGTGTGTGTGTGTTTAGTGGAAAAGCGTTGTCTGCACCTGCCAGTTGGCCATCAACATAAGAACAGGGATGTAAGAGAGCTGGTGTTCTGCAATCATGTGGGAGAAACATGTACGAGTATCTGTAAACAGTCAGAAAAAATTGGTTTGGAAGTTGGCTTTTTTTTGGCCTTGTTTTGTGTTGCTTTTTTTCCGTTGGCTTTTCGTTGCTTTTCTTTTTTGGCTTGTTTTCGTTTTTTGCTTTTAGGGGGGTTCCCTTGGTTTTTGATTTTTTTTTTTTTTTTTTTATTTTTTTTTTTGTTTTTTTTTAGTTTTTTTTTTAATGATGAAGGCTCTTATAGAGTAAGATGTTTGGCCCAGTTGTACACAAACATGCTCTATGAAGCTTTCATGAAGTCCTGCAATCAAATCAGCGATGCTAAGCTAAAGCTAGACGGGTGTCTTGAGGAGTAGCTGCAGTTTTTTTCCTCTGAGAATTTTTTGTTTTCAAGTGATGCCATCTAATTATCTGAACTTGTGTTGTGAGTAGCAGCATTTCTAGAGCAGGTCTTTACTCCTGTGAGATGTAATCATTTGTGCGATCTGAGACTGGACGATGCTTTTACTTGTTTCAGGTTTGCTCAGGTAATTTAGCTGATAAGGTTACAGAACAAGCTTCTATGTTTAAGCTCATGTATAGACTGTGAAGGTGTTTCCGTGACATTAAACATTCAGGTCATCACTGCTCCAACTCCACTAGACTTTTTCCTTTGCATCCAATAATGAATAAGGTCCATATTTTAATTGATAAACATACTTTTATTACTTTAGGAAACTACTAAGTTGTACTTGTTGGGATCTTAGAAAGGTCTGGAGCGTTGCGTTCGTCCGAGAGAGAGATGTTCAGAAGCTTCGGAGCAGCTCGTTTGTTCTATAAATGGAAATGACTTATCTCCGAGTCGTCCTTCCACCGAAGAAACGGCTGCGAGTTCTTTGGCACTGGGACGGCGGTTCAGCACTCAGGACAGCAATTTGGACCTCGAGTGCTTTTAATAAATCTTTTGGTGTCATTACAGAAATTGGGGACGTTCAGTGGAAGCCATTTATAAAAGATAAAGCGCTGGTATTGGTACCGGCACACAGAGGACGGAATTAATTTAGCCTCAGCTTTTTTGGTGACCGACCAAAACCCATTGTGTATCTGTGTCACCGAAAAAAAATGTAAAAACGATGAAGCCAAACATGCTAATATTTAAGCCTGATGGAGTTTTTTCTGTTTTTTTTCCAGGGATGATGACGATGATGATGATGACGAGGAGAGCGAGGAAGAGGAAACGCCCGTTAAGGTGAGCAAATGTCACAAAATTAGTTTTTTTAGTTAAAGCTCAATTAATGTGAAGTTGTTCTGACTTACACCTGCCTGTTTGTTACAGGCCAAACAAACACCATCCAAACAAAAGGCTCCTGCTCAGAACGGCAAGAGTTCTAAACCCGGCACCCCGGCAGCTAACCAGGTAACCGCTGCTCTTCATAGTCGCCGCCTTTCTAGGAACATTTGTATTTTGAGCTTGACTTTTTTTTCTGAAAAGCTGCACTGTACGGGGCCTTGAACCATTGTTGAATGTTGGCAGCATGCTTGTGTTTTGAAAATTCATCAATTTAATTTCCAAATATCTTAACTTTCCAGGACAAGACCCCCAAAGGAAAGGGCAACAAGTCACCCAAGACCCCACCAACCCCTAAAGCAGTCCTTACAATCCCTGAGATTAAAGCCAAAATTCTGGAGGCCGTGACCAAGGTCGGCGTCCTTTATGCTTTTATTTCTATTTTTCTTTTCCTCCCATTTAAAAAGGCGATGAATGGTGTGACTATTAAGTGTGAATCTGATCATTGATTGTGTTTATTTGTCTTTTGTAGGGAGTAACATTACCTAAAGTCCAGCCCAAGTTTGAGAACTTTGTGAAGCATGGCCACAGAGTCTCAGACCCCAAGGTACAACACATGTTTACAACACCTACACGTTAGCTTTCAGATGTGACGCACTTGGTTTTGTATTTTATTTTGAGTTTAAGAAAAAGACACACAGGTGCTTTTAATTTCTCTGTTGACGTCTGTCTGATTTTTATTCGACAAGTACGGAGAAATTAGAACTTTTTGATTAACATATGTCCAAATAATTGTGTGGAGTTTTTGTCATTTTTAATGTTTTTTTTCTTTTTTAAATGTGGCACTTATCTATTTAACAAAGAGACATGAGGAGATGAGTAAAAGAAAGGAGTGTGTAAAAATTCAAACTGTTTGTTGTTGTTGTGCTTGTTCCTGATGCTGCCTCTAGGGGGTGCCAAATCTGTTCTCATTCATTGATGCAGCAAAAGTTGTTCAAGAAAATGTTTTTATTGATGAACAAAAGAGAAATAATCAACCAAGAAAGGATGTTAAATAGTTCAGATTTTATTCTAATGTTACCTCCTCAGTGAGCTTCTTATATTTTTTAAGCTGCCGTGTGTTTTAAACAACCAGCTAATTGATTTTTTTTGTTTGTTTTCAGGACATTGCAGAGCTGTGGAAGTGGAGACAGACATTGAAGGACGGAAAATAACTCGACTCTGTAGTGTTTTAAAAAAACAAAAAAAATACGAAAAACAAATCTATTTTTATGCCTTGTTTATGCCCATAGCACCTCTCGAACCCTCTGAAGCCGAACTCAGTGCCTCACACTTACCGTTAAATCACTCGTAAGTCTGTTTCAGCTCCGCCTGCTCTCCTGGATGAAAAGACTGAAGAGGTGGCGGCGGACGGTTGACGGAGCGCCGCCTCGGTCGCCCTCTTGAGTTAACCCTGGTAGATCCAACGTACAATTTCCCATCGTTGTAAATGTGTAAATAAAATTCTCACTAGATTGTTGGCAACAGGGTATGGAGGACGTTTTCATGTGGATTTTTTTTGTTTAGTTTTTTTTATATATATATTTACAATTTGCCTCCGTTTAGGAGCGACAGAAATAAATCCATCTTACCATTACACAAAAAGCAGATAGACTGGTAACAGCTTAACTTTCAGTCTAGTCAAACAGACTCTGTTTTGGTCGCATCATTTGCCAGTTTTTTTTTTTCAACAACATACACATGTGGCACTTTTTTTTTGAAAACACAACTCGTTTGGTGTTTTTTGAATGTCTACGCTAGTGTGAGATTCCCGCCGTCGTAATCCGACGACACCAGAATTCAAAAAGTCGTCACCGTCCAGAAAGAACCACCTATTTAACATTAAGCAACAAGCTGCACTAATGTTGAAGACGACACGTTTCAGCTCTGTCGAGGAATCTGTCTGCGTCGTTGCCACGACTACTGATATCCCAGAGGAACGAGGTCGCCCACTTTGAGAGACTGTACGCATGAAGGAATTTGCAAATGAGTTGTGTAGCGTTTCCTAAATGTTCCGACCCGTGCCTCAAACTCTGTTCTCGTTTGACCAGGTTCGAGTTAAATTTAAAAACGTTGGTGCCGGTGAGGCCTGTTCAAGCAGAAGACCATTCCATGTTGAAGAGATGTCTGTTTTTACGACTTTGAATATGCTGTGGGTTGATGAGTGATTAAACGACGTGGATCTGTCTGCTGTTGGATTTCTTTACAGTTATAATAGTTGGTAATTGTACCCACGTCTGATGCTTAATGCAGTATTAAGTTCCCTTGTTCTTGATTTTGATTTTTTTTTTTTTTTTCATGTGCAACAATCTGCTCATAATTAAAAGTTCAAGCACACAAAGTTGTCTTTTCCTGACGTGTTTCTTCAGACATGCAAACATCCGAGGTGTCTTTTGAAGTTTGCATTACTCACAGTAGTGGACACAGTCATCTATTTTCTGGAAGTAAGTTGTAGATTACACAAACCGCTCCACTCCCTTTAACCGGTGCTGCTATCTGTTCTTGCAGATTCAGCAGCGTTACAGGAGCTGTGATTTGAATGAGTCAGTTAGCACCTAGATGGAGGGAAACTCCTGTATTGGTTTCCAGAAAATGAGAAAAAAAAATCCAGACTGGTTTCCTGTTGTCTGGCTTGATTACCAATAAGACAATGAGCACAGTGAGTGGCTGCTATTATATGTTGATATAGTATTTTGAAATATTTAACGTCATATTTCCCAAACCAGATTGTCCAGGCAAGATCTGACATTTTCTGTTGACATGTTGCACAATGAGCTCATAATCTTACTCTTTCACAAAACACAAAGGTGTTGCACCTTATAGTGTTCTTTAGATTACGCATTTTACGACGGCTTTAACATCTCATTTAATCATAATTTCCAACACATTTATGAAGCAAAATGTGCCCCTTACATCTCTACCTTGATCTCTGTCTATTTTGGATTTCAGAATCCATCCATCATCTATACACCACTTAGTCCTCACCAGGGGCTGGAGTCTATCCCAGCTGACTCAGGGTGAAGGCAGGTTCACCTGGACAGGTAACCAGTCTATCACAGGGCTACACTTAGAGACAGACAACCAAGCACACTCACATTCACACCTACGGACAATTTACAATCACCAATTAACCTCAGCATGTTTCTGGACTGTGGGAGGAAGCCGGAGAACCCGGAGAGAACCCACGCTGCACGGGGAGAACATGGAGACTCCATGCAGAGAGATTGCGAACCGGCGACCTTCTTGCTGCGAGGCAACGGTGCGAACCACTGATTCACCTTGCAGCCCCCGTGAGGTTACATACAGTGTAAAATCTGTATGTTGTGAGCCTCTTTTTTTTTTTTTAATTTATAGCACAACAATCATCCTATAATGTAAGACAGAGAGTTGTGATTTTTCTATTTTTTCCTCTGTCGCTACCGTTGACGCCACTCACTCTGTTCAAACAGTCCGACTTCTGCTGTGTTCATTAGCAGGATCTATTGCAAATTTGAAATGAAATGAAAAATACTTTATTTATCCCAGAAGGGAAATTCAATGTTTGCTTCATCAAGCTACTCTTGAAGAAAGGTTTTCTATTTCTCTCAGCTTTCTAGACTTGGAACTGAACCCTGATGCAGGCCCAAGTTTTTTCCACCATAAAAACTTACAGAAAGGTGACAAATTAAAGAAACAAACCAACATAATGTGTCTTAGTGAGGCGTTGGGTCACCAGAACAGCTTCAGTACCCCTCGGCATTGATTCTACAAGCATCTGGACCTCTACTGGAGGGATGAACACCTAGATATCCCATCATTTGGTGTTTTGATGATGCTGGTGGAGAGTGCTGTTTGACATGTCGGTCCAGAACCTCCCATAGGTGTTCATCTGGGTCAATCATTCAGTGACTCCTTGTGCCCTGTGGATGGGGGCACTGTCGCTCTGGAAGACTCCATTTCCCTTCAGGATATAAATGTTTTAACACAGGATAGAGGTGACGACTTAAAACAGCTTTGACGGGGACGAGTGGACCCAAACTATGCCAGAAAAATGTTCAGTATAAGCATGAAGGAGCCTCTGAAGCTCCTCACTGTATCGGTAGAAGGTTCAGGTTTAGTTTGTCACCCATCAGTAGATGTTCTACCACAAACTTCAAGAGCTTCTGCAACGTGTGCATGTCTATATGACAACAGTTCAGGTCGTGATTCTGCTCTTCCTTCCTTTACAGTCCAGTAAATCAACAGTCAATCTCAGCTGCGTATCATCATTTACAGTCAGGGCAATAAAGAGATGATGGAAAGTAAAAGCTCATTATCATCATTCTGTGATTCAGTAGCCTGTGATAAGCAGCCCTGCCCTGCTGATAAGATAAGAGGAGCCCACACACGCTCACAATATATGCAGCAAGGCAGGTGTTATTGATAAAAAGTTTATTTTAAAGAGAAGAGGAGATTTCATATGACTAATAAAGCTTTTCTTCTTTTTTAAAATTCCCCGAAGGAACGTTCTCGCCGAGAATAATCATTATGTTTGGTTTCTTTTTTATGAGTTTATGGGACAGAGGCAGACTGGGGTCAGAAGGTTTAGCCACTTGGAAGTGAAATCATTATCATTATTAGTTTTCTGATCTGGCCTGAAGGGAGGAAAGAGTAATGATTAGAGAACGGCAGGCGGAATGAGAACAGACGAAAAGGAGAACTGGAGCAAGACACTGCAGGCTCTTATAAATTACAAGAATCATAACCTCAGAAGACATAATGACAAAGCGAGGGGAGATGAGACGCTGTAAAAAAAAAAAAAAGACAGGAGGGACGAGGTGAGCTCAGGTGAAAGCGCTCCATTGTGGTGAAATATTACTTCAGAGCTTTTCATATCCAGAAAATGGAGACAAGACGTCTTACACAATAACATTTTATATCAGCTGAAAATGGTACACGCTGTTTATAGAGAGCAGCATCCATTCTGTTCTTATAGCTGCTTCCACCACCACAGAGGCAGTTCTCCGTGTGCACCACAAGATGGCAATAAAAGCAAAGAAACTTTCATTTTGTTGGCCATTATGATGCTGTGTACTCATCCACCTGAGGGAAGATGGCTTCCAGCCAGAGAGAGAGAGGAGTGTGGCCCTCATGTTTTCAGACTCCTGCCTCGGTAGGAAAATAATCTGCAACCTGAGACTGTCATGTCTGTGGAGGCAGCATCTCTAAAAGCCGGAGTCGTGTACGTCTGAGAGAAAAGTGCAATTCCATGTGTACGTTGCAGTGGATCTGGGCGTCACTACATCTGTAATTTCTGTTAACGTTTCCTTACATGACCGCAGCATTCTTGTATTTTATTTTCTTAACCAAAACCATAAACACCTGGAGCTGTCGGTTTCAAGATCAGTTTCTACAGAAGAGGAATCATGAGTTACAGCGAGTCTCCTATTCCCACCTTTATGCTGAATTTAAGATGATTTTAGGGCAGAGACAAGATGGAGATGCACAAAGGAAAACCAGAATGTGTAATTTATGCAGTGATAAGTGCTGGGGGCACATTTCATGTATTATTTGAATGCACAAATATGGAAATAATGCAAAACAAAGACTTTGCCTAACTATGTGCAACATCTATCTGTTGTTGCCGGTTCTATTTCACAAACAGAAACTACAGTTAATCTGTAAACTTTCAGCTTTTCTGGATTTTTTTCACTCCCAGTTGCCTTAAACTATATATTTGTATTATTTTATATGGTCATGAGTTCAAAAAAAATGAAATCTGTCATGTAAACAAAGTACATTTGTTGAATGACTACTTCGAAAAGTCATGAACAGTAAATATTTTATTGTATTTACAACACAAACACATTGCAATTTATAAAGTTCGTAAAAAAAAGAAAATTTGACGAGTGCAACAGCTAGTGTGACTTAAAAACAAGCATAAGCAAAACCCATTCACATAAAAAGAAATCATTACAGAACAAGTCACAAAAACAAGTCACAACATCTGTCAGGTCAACACGTTGGCAATTGGACTTAAAAGAATCAGTATATTTTCACTTATGCAATTACAATTTGACTCCAGCAGTTGATTAAAAACAAACAAACAAAATGTTCTGCAGTGGTACTGAATTATTTGTGGTGTTTGTATAAATAAGGCACAAATTTTATGGAAATTATGGTGACCTACTTGTCTCAGGTGCCAGATGAGCCGTGTGCTGTGCGTTCAGGCTACACACTGATCAACAGCTGACCGTTGCCATGTCTTTTCTATGCATTCACATAATTCACACTGCAGCACGTTATCTACACATCAAGCTGTACAACATCCCGGATGTTTCACCTCCACTCACCCCAGTGCTCTACAGGTGTCGATTAAGTGGACGGTATACGACATGGTATACGTTACAAAGCAAGCACCGACTACAGTTCCAGACAGGCCAAGGTCAACGAGCTCGTTCTTTTGAAGTAAACAACCATTATTTAAAAACTTTAATGAGTTTGTTAAAATAATAATATTACAGTAACATTGCTGGGTAACCCCCACAGAAACTAAAACACAAATAAAAAAAATAGACAAATGCTGATTGCCTCCTGGGATACATCTTCTCAAGGTTTCAATCTCTGAGCTGGACTAGCATGAATGTCAAAGTGTCCTTCAGCCTCTAACTGAGCCGCGTCCTCTTCAAACGTACTCCTTGCTGCTGGGGGGTCTGGAGGAGATGGGATACTTTGGTGTAGATTTGTTTCTTGGACAGGAGGCTGCCAGCATGGCACCTCCCACGACAGTCAGGAATGCACCAGCCCAGGCAATGAAGATGGCAGAACCGAACTCATACCTTCAGAGAGAGAAGTTATGATCAGTCAAAAGGGTAAACACATGCCAACAGAGCAAAAACTAAATATTAAAACAATCTGTTACAGTTGACAATTTAAATTTTATGCAATAAAAAAAAGCACCAGAACCAGAATAATGTGTCACAATTTCTACATTTTCTCTTTCGCCTCTGCAAAAAGCAAAACTGTGCACAAGTGTTCAGTTTAATTGTTCATGTACTTACTTGGTATTAACTGGTGTGAAAGGGTCGTAGAAGGCTCGGATGATGTCGTGAGCATACCAAGAGCAGGCGACAATGGCACACAAAGCTGTGGGAGAGTAAAGAACAACATCACCGAAACTGTTCGACAACAACAACAAAAAGTAAACAAACCACACTGAATGGCTTCTTACCTCCAACCAAGATGATAATGCCTCCAGCCATGGCAATGCGAGACTTGCGCACTTTGTCATCTCCTCCACAGGTGGTGCACTTCATCCCCATGCAGGCTGCACCCAGGCCGACCAGCGTTACGATAATGCTCACAATCATGAGGGCACGAGTCGCCTGGAGGGCACCTGAATAAGAGGACAGAACAGGGTTAATCCATCAGGTACGGTGACAGCTCAGCGCTTAACAGTCGGCACGTACGATCAAAAAAAGTGTGACGAGAAGTGGCAGGCGTTAACTGGAGCGGAACTAAACGGAAAAGAAACTGCTGGTTTTATTTGAAATTTCTATCTGTGCTGATTTGTCGTGACAACGCTCCTATCAGATTGTTGCTTTGTATGTGCTTAGAAGACACTATTTGGAATAAAAGGGGGGCAGCGTAAACAAACACTGGTTCTGCTCCACAGAGCGGCCTCTGTCTCTTGTGTCTCACTGCCGCTCCCAATAACAACGCACCACAGAAACTGGCTCTAACCGGAAGACCGAAGAAACTCCGGAGGGGGGCAGGGGGAGTGGGTGTGTTAGCCTGCAAGTCTGGAACAGGTCTAACCAGGTCTCAGGTTTCATTATGAGGGACGGCACTCCCAATCTCAGGTACTCACAGGCCGCTTTTCAGCAGGTGGACATTTTGCAGTTTGGAAGTTCGATCTAAAATAAGAGCCTCAAGACATAAGGTTTCCATTAAAATGTGTGAATAAATAAAACTCATGAGTCTACCAGTAAAGCCTTCTCCACTTTTGGTATGAATGTGAGGTGTTTGTAGATTTATAGCAGCTATTTCTAAAAGCCATCATTTATTGACTCGCTCCCTATCTGACCGCAGCTTTAATCACACAGTGTTTATCTAGGATGGATTGCGCTCATGTTTGAGGAGCCGATAAGGCACTTTGAGCGACACGCATTTTATCAGATGTGTGGATAAATCAAACTAAAATAAATAAATACTAAAATCAAATCGGACACACGAGCTACTTGGATGAAATGGCTGCTTCGTGAACTTTTAGGCCACCGAGTCAACACCTGTAAGTAAATAACGACGAGTCGGGGTGGATGTACAGGGAGGGACCCATGTACAAACTGTGCAGAAGACTTCCCTCAGTGGCATTCAGGCAGTTTACGCCTGAGGGCACGCCATCAATCAGCTGAATATGAAACACGTACGATACCTGCACGATACCTGACCTGCCACCTGCAGTGCTGCCATTGACCCATTCATCCACTGACTTATGATAACAGACCAGAGCCGTGAAGAGAGTCACAACCACAAAAGCATCTTCGGTCAACTTAGACTGCCAAAAGCAATAATAACAAACGTTGCTGCTTCCTTATTTAACCTTAGATGTTCTTTTTTTTGATGCGGAAATGTCAATTTTAATTGATTTCCCTTTACCCAGCCCTATGATACACCAGGAAGTAGAACTGCATTCACTGTTTGCATTCTTTTGGGCCCAGACTCCAGGAAAAAGTGGTTTTGTGCCCATTTGAGGTCTGATTTTGTCCCTGGAGGACAAAACAGGTGTTTGTGGCGCTGCTATGCGGACATGTTGCCTAAACACTGGCCCATGCCGGTATTGTTTAACCTGTAACTACCAAATGCTGTGTGAAGCAATTCCTGCATTATGGAGACCTGGAGGAGGAGGAGGAGGAGGAGGAGGAGGAAGGCTGTGCAGGACAATGACAAAAGGCTAATCATTGCCAAGGTGTGGAGGTAAAGCACACATTCCCGCCTGGCAAATGGAAAAAAAAGTAAGAATTTGACTTATTATTAGGCAATAATCTCACAGCACAGAGCAGGGAAGGTCTCACAGTGTGGAGAATGAAAAGGGAGGTGATAAAACCGGTTGGTTCAGTAGACAGGAATCTAGTAACGGCTGAGAGAGAAAATGGCCGAAAGGGAAAAAAAAGTTTTTGTTTTCCCAACAGGTGCAGGTTATGGTTATATAATTATCTATCACACATTTAACTTAGTTTTTTATTTTGTTTGTTTGTTTTTGTGTGTCTGTAAATAGTTAGAATTAGTTTTCTCAAAGTTTTAGCCTTAAAATAAAAGATGACTTTTGGGGCCTTTACCCAAACTTTTAACTAACAAATTTTCAAGGGCGCTCAATAACATGCCTGTTTATAGTGGTTTCAAATGAAAAAAAGTTTATTTCCCAGATGAGAAGCAGCTTTAATCTGCCAGTTTGACCGGTTGAACTCACCGTTGAGCTGCAGGATGGAGTCGTACACCTTGCACTGGATCTGCCCGGTGCTCTGGAAGGCGCAGGTCATCCACAGGCCCTCGTACATGGCCACCGCCGTGATGATGTTGTCCCCCACGTAGGCGGACATCTTCCACTGGGGCAGGATGGTGCCAATTATCAATCCAATTACGCCCAGCAGAGCCAGGGCGAATCCCAAAATCTGTAGACCAGAGTTGGCCATTTTTTTTTCTTCTTCTTCTTCGACGAGGAGTTAGAACAAACAACAAAAAACAAGACGGCGTCCACCTGCTGTGAAGGTAAGAATCCTCTCCTCACAAGTTTTTTTTTTTTTTTGTTGCTAGTAAAGTTCCTTCTTTTTAAAGTGCTCTCAGTCAACAAGTGTTTTCAGATAGCGGTGATGTTTAAGGTTAGTGTCTTCTCTTCTCTTCTTGCGCACCTGTTCCTCTGCCGCGCCTTGAATGGAGAGGGAGCCGCGGGAGCGAGCTTTTTTAGGCGGTTTCTGTGGGCAGGTGGGCGGGGACGCGCACGCAGTATCGACTCATCAGCGACGCAGCGAACACCTGAAGGTTTCGTGATGTCAGTGTTTCCGGTAACAGACCCCGACCTGCCTATTTATAGCCTCCACAGGTATCACAACAAACCCCCGCTTCACATTCTACACAGTAAACAATAGATAATAAACTTTAAAGCGCTCTTTTAATAATTACAATCAAGCATTTGGTTCCTACTGATCTGATTTGTGTTTTCTCTAATGAATATAAATGATGAATCTGATATTTTATGTGCCAGATCTTTAAGAAGCATTATTATATTTTAAAATCGCACACTATCTGATTTTCCCACAACAAAAGTGGCCACATTTAGAGGAAGGATTTGTCATAATCTTGCATTTCTAACCACAGCAGGAGGCTTGGTAAGCAGAAAGCACAGGGAGGTTTAAAACCTCAGCGTTTTGAAATACAGTCTGACATGTGTAAATCACTGGAATAAAATGGCTTTAGTATGTGTGTTTGATCAAATATGAATACAGCTTTAGTTTAGCCTGAGATTCCACCAGTATTGATAATTAGATTTTCAACATTTTGATCAACAAGCACAAGTCTGTACCTGGTGAAGTACATGTCCAAAATAGGAAGTGGCATTAACATAAGTGGAAGTGGAAAATAAAAGTTCAGACAATAAAAAAGTCTTAGTGATTCTTAAGCTTTATTTTTTGATCACATCATTTATTTTCAGACCTTAGATTACAAAGCATTGTAGCTATTTGAACTGCTAATCTGAAGAAGATGTGGCCTCAGACATTAATATTTCACCAATTAACTCCTCAGCATGTTAGCTGGGCATCATGAGCACATCCACGATCAATAAGGGAGCAGAACTTTTCTCAAATAAGATCCTTACAGGACTCTGGTTCGAGGACACCCGGGATCTTTCTACATGGAGTCTCCATGTTTCCCCCGTGCAGCGTGGGTTCTCTCCGGGTTCTCCGGCTTCCTCCCACGGTCCAGAAACATGTTGAGGTTAATTGGTGATTCTAGATTTTCCGTAGGTGTGAATGTGAGTGTGCTTGGTTGTCTGTCTCTAAGTGTAGCCCTGTGATAGACTGGTTACCTGTCCAGGTGAACCTGCCTTCATCACACCATCACACATGTGTTTGCATCTATCTATCTATCTATCTATTGTACAGATGTGTAATGTAGTTAATAATGTAATTTATCTGTCTGAGGTCAGCAGCAGACAAACAGGAGACAGGAGGAACACTTTGGAAGCTGGAAATTCAACAAACGGCAGCAGGAGTGCCTCGTGGCTTCTGAGACACAGTTTAGCTGGAGGTAAACGTGAGCGCAGATCAATGGCTTAAAACAACAGTCGTGGGGCGTGGATACGACTTATGACATCCAAGTATCATGCAACCGATTAATTCTAATTACAGCCTGCTGCAGAGTTTAAACAAAGCTATTACTAGTTATTACTGTTGCTTAACAAGAAGGCTGTGAATCAGTTTTTTGTTGAAATTCATCAGAATCGGGTTTAGTTGATGCACGAGTTAGACGATGACTGATGATGCGTGCGATTACTGTCAGCATCAGACTGCTGAATGTGCTCAGTGGTCATTTGTGAAAGTCTGTTCCCACTTCTTGCCGTGTTCAACTGTGCTCGTCACTTCCCATTTAGACGCTTTTTTAAAAAACAAAAGGCAACTTCTTTTTTTCTATCTTCCCTGTAAATAACCAGCTTTGCAGCCAGTCTTTAACATTCATTTGTGTTGTCTTTACATGAGCCTGACATCGTCACCGTCACGAAACGATTTGATCCACGTACGTCCTCCTCCTGACACAGCAGCTAAAGGTTGAGATGTAAGAAGCAACGCAGAAAGCTAAGACGCAGGGTGTTGTTTGCCCCGCGGGGCTTCTGTGTTCAGATGACACTTGGCTCTGACCAATTCACTGTGACAACACGAGAGCCGACCAGAAAATCCCGGGGATTCTAATGTCAGTTTTTAGTCAGATAGAGATAAAATCTTTCAGATTTGTTTAGATTTTATGTTTGGGGATAGGCTTTTCACATGAAATCTTGTTTACATGGTGAATGTGGACAAACTATGCGATTTATTTTGTGTCGGACGGCGACGTTACGTTCTGGGAACAGTGATTTTAAAGCTACAATGCAGGTAAAGCACCTGCTGGTATCTATTTAGTTCTTAGAAAACCCCAAAATATCCCATTTCCACACACAAGCAGCTCTAACAAGCCCTAGCATGTGGATTTCTCATTCACACTTTTACTAGGTTGCGTCATGACATCCTAACATATACAGTAAATGTTGGGTTTCTGAATTTAGACGATACTTGCGCAACGCTGAGACCTTTTTTTAGGCTGATACCGACGGCCGCTTTGTGAGTCATCATATAGTAAGACACAAGAGGGATGCTGTAAATATTTTCGGCTTGTCACAAGTTTCTCGACCAATCGAGTGACTCATCGCAGAGAAACAGATGACAGTGAATGGAACGATTTAAATGTGTTTATCCTGCTTCACAGGGCGTGTCTACTCCGTCGGTTTGTTTACACGGCCCTCACAGGTAGCTTCACAGCTTCTCACCGGGAACTGGAGTTAATGTTTTGTGACTTTTGAACCGATCTGGCCTCTGAAAGGATTCTGTTTAGGTTTCATGTCTGTCTGTGAGAAGTTTATAAAAATCATTTCTACTATGAACAAGTTTTCCTCTCAAAGATTTAGAACTAATCTTACATAACAATGTGAAGTTATTTCCTCCATGAGAATCTTTCCCATGTAATTCCTTTGATGTGTTTAGTCATGAATTTTGGGCAGTTAGCTGCTTTTTTTTTTCTCTTTTCTTTTCCCCCTCTCTGATCACATGATGTGCAGTCGGTGTGCTGAGCTTAACCTAGTGACTCATTGTAATAATTTGCATGTTGTACCGTCATTCTAGGACGCAGGATGTAGGACACAAGGTTACATGAGGCGGGATGGAATGAGCAGAACTTCCAAGTGCAATGCTGCCACCTAATGGTTGCTGCACATATGAAAAACAGAAACAGCCATTTTAGCTCTCACTACAACTAAAGCACTGGTTATGCTGGTACCTTGTGCTGTTAGACCTTTAGCTCTGATAAGTACCATTAAATAAAGAACCCAAAGTAAAACTCAAGGACAGGCTTTTTTGCAGCATATGATAGTAAAATAAATCGAGGTTCCTGTTTCACTTTACCTGCACTTTTCGGTTCTGGCTCTAAGCATGATTAGCGGTTCTACCAGTCGTTATCACATTTGCCAGCGTGATAATGTCATCATTGTGAAAAGAGCAAACTAAACGCCTCCTTCTAATCAGCAGTCGTTTTTGCTTCACACGTTGGAGACGGCTTTGGATAAAGCAGCTGTCACATACGATTAACACTATAGGACATAATCAACAGTGACCATACAGTTAGAAGTGTTACATCCAATTATGTCCAAACTGACATGTATTTAACAGCGTTCCTTCGATAAAATCTAATTAGATTCAGTATAATGGCTTAATTTTGGCTGCAGCTGTACTCGTGTTGGGCCTGCAAAGTGATGAGGTGGTTAGCGCCGTCGCCTCGCAGCTAGAAGGTCGCCAGTTCGTGTCCCGGTGAGGATCTTTCTCCATGGAGTCTCTCCGGGTTCTCCGGCTTCCTCCCGCAGTCCAGAAACATGTTGAGGTTAATTGGTGATTGTAAATTGTCCGTAGGTGTGAATGTGAGTGTGCTTGGTTGTCTGTCTCTAAGTGTAGCCCTGTGATAGACTGGTTACCTGTCCAGGTGAACCTGCCTTCACCCTGAGTCACCTGGGATAGACTCCAGCCCCCCATGACCCTAGTGAGGATTAAGGTGTGGAGAGCTGATGGATGGATGTGCTCGTGTTGAGCAGAAAACATGCGATGCTCTGGATTTCATTCTTCTGAAAAATAATTGGAAAATACCTCATGTTCAAATATAAATAAATAAAACTGAATTAGACCAGCATTTAACCGACTGCACACCTGTAAGGTTTCACTTTTTGATTATGTGCAATATTACACACAAAACAAAGAAGACGTCGTGACTAATAATGTGTCTGCAGTCTGGGTTGTCTATTAAAAAACACGACTAAAACGATAACAAATAACACAGACGGTGTGTTTTACTTACATAATGTGACATCTTTGGAAATTATTTTACTTTGGCTTCAAAATATAGTTTTTTTTATTTAATGAAAATCAATAAACAGAATGTTCTTCCTCCAAGCAAACCGCTGCTGCTGTAATTCCTCCTGACACTAAAAATGTAGGCTGAAACCCCAAATGTTCGTTATGTCTTTGATCTGATTTTCATCACATCTTTTGCTTTATATCCAGTGTTGATATCGTAACACCACATTTTCATTCTCATCTACATGCACCGCCGGCGACTTCACGCCCATTTGATGCTGTGTTGTTGCTATCAATATTCAGTGAAAGACCAGCTGAACTGTGTGTAGTCGGAGCAACACTGGTGCTTGGAAAAGAGAAAAAAAACATCATTAAATGCAACACAAGGTTGTGATCTTCCCACGTTTGTTCAAATTTAGCATGTAGATTCCTATAATGGAAACATGCGCATGCTGAGGGTAATTGGTTCCTCCAGCTATCGTGAGAACTATATTTGGTTTAATGCCTTAATCCTTATTTGCTGCATTAAGAAATATAAAGCTCCATTCAGTGTGAGCGCAGACTGCTTCACTCTGGGTGGGTTTACTGAGAATAATCTCGTATAAATGCACGAGTCATGCTTCCATGAGATTTGAGATGCCCCAGTAAAGCACAGGGAGGATCAGAGGAGGAAAAGAGGGCTGTCCGACCCCGACTGAGGTCACGTCTCAAAGGGGGGGAACTCGTTGTGGGAGCCAGTGACAGCCCAGAGCGCACCACGATAATCAGCCGGATCAGACGCTGCTC